TCTCCACGCTCTAAGTCCTCCTCTGATGCCCTGTCGGCACTGCTTCCGGCCATCCTTAAATTCGGTTCAGGGTCCACTTAATGTGGACATGCTAGTTCGAATTAGCAAAACGCTAATTCGAACTAGTTTTTAGTTCTAGATGCGTTAGTTCGAATTAACTAATTCGAACTAAGTTAGTTCGAATTAGCGCTGTAGTGTAGACGTACCCTATGTGTTTCTGTCTCTTTAGTTTGAGACCCCCAACATTTTAAATGTGTTTTATGATGTTTCTTTTGTAAAGCATTTCAATTCACCTTTAAAGAGTTTGAAAGGAATGCATTGGAGTGATAGGAAGTTAACCCAGACCATATGTGTAAAATAAATGCGAAAGAGATTAGAAGATTGAGATGTTGTATGCCATAAGAGCATTGAAATCTGACTTGTGAAATAAAAACTTCAACTCCATTTGTATGCATCCCCTGTCATTTAATTTAGCCCTTCCTGCATCCTATGTTAGCTATGCTCATAGTTTTACCTTAGCCTAGTACTGAGTGACTTAGGTGTCTTGGGCTTGATTTACACTGGAGTTAAGCTGCCTTTTGTCAACCTATATCAGTGTCTTCACTACAGCCTTGTTCCCACTGATGTAAGTGCCTTACTATGCCAATAGGTGTAGGGCTAGAGGTGTAGGGCTTATGTCAGTACATAAGCCCTACATCGCAAGAGGTGTAGGGCTTAAGTCAATGTAATTAAAGTGACACACTGTTTAGACACTGAGTTTCTTACATCAGCTGTTGGTGTCTTGTCAATTTCAGGGCTGGAGGAGCTATGAAATGACAAGAAAGCTGGTTCTCCCCAGGCAGACTGCTGGCAGGTCTCCTCTCTAAGATGAGCTGCACCACCCCGGATTCTGACTTGGGCTACTGCTCAGGCTTCCTGTTGAGATTCCTGTTACCCGCTAGGCTCTTGGGACTCCAGGTGCAGATTTCCCTGTGAAAGGCAAGAAGCTCCCAGTGGGGAGTTGTGTGGAGCTCTGAGCCCTCTACCCCTCCCCCTCTGCCCCTGTTCAGTTAATGGAAGTGCCTCTGGTGAGGATGCATGCAACCTATGGAAGGAAGGTATATGGATATTGGCCTCTGCAGTAATTACTGTAGTGGCTGTAAGTCGACCTATATAGGTTGACTTAGATTACAATGTAGACACGCCCTTAGTCATTGGAATTCTCTGATGCGTGGTGGACACTGCTCCCTGATACATTAAACTCAGCTTCAATTGCTGAATCTTTGCTGCCTTATGTTGTGTCCTTGAAGACTATTTCTGAGGACAATTAAGATAAGAGTATTCATTCACTTCAAGTGATAATGTTTATTAAATGTTTACTTCACTTTCTGTTTCTTTCATCCAAAATAGCACCACGTTCTCTCGGGCTCCTCTCCTGCATTGTGATCCATATGAGCAGTTGGCAGCCCTCCAGTGACTTCAGCAGTCTGCCCACGCAGATCACAATGCAGGATCGGACTAGGATGTTTATATTATAGCTGTTTGAAAATAAACTGGGTGACGTGGGAAACTGTTTAACTATGCTGTCCTTAAGATACGTATTTCATGATTAATCATTGCCATATGTAATGTGTATACACTCCCAATCCTGTTCACATCAAAGTCAGGAAGGATGCCTTCAGTGAATGGGGAATGTCTTCAGGAAAGCATTCAGTACATGCTGAAGCCACTGGAATGGGGACCTGAGAATAGGATGCTTCAGCTTTGACACAGGAGTTGTAGTTGGTTAGCTGTATTTCAGAGTCAAAGGGTGTAAAAGTGTTGGGGCCAGATTAATCCCATTGCAATAGATGAAACTGAACTCTGCAGGGCCATTATTTTAAACAAAACTTACACAAGTGTTGATGTACTTCTTAAATTAGCACTTTTTCAGGGACCAAGATAATCTGGTTGTGTGTTCTACATTCCCTTTTCTTTTCCTATAACTGGATAGAATGGAGGATGTCCTGTAAATTTGTGTCAGCCGACGGTCAGGGCTCCCTATATCTGTCCCTTAAGACCGGCTGAAGTTCTTTTAAATTGTGCCTGGTTCTGTTACAGCAACTGAAGGAGTCAGGTTAAAACTTAAACAGTTACAGGTTTATTGAGGAAGCTTATAAATCATATGGTTACAATGGCTATTGCTCTATTTCTTAACTACTAGCAAAATATAGATCTTAAAAATGGTTACAAAAAAGATAAAGATAGAAAAATAGAAATAATAGTACCAAGTAACAGCTTAATCTTTCTATGTGTACACTTAAGACAGAGGACCACATCCAGGTACAATTTTTACCCCCTTCTGTGCCTCTCGACTCCAGCATGTCAGGCCAGGGCCGGTCCCTCAATTCCTAGGAAAGACGAAAATACGAGGTGGGCGTCCCCATAGAACCTCGGGAGGTCAAACACCTAACCCGACCAGCAGGTAGAGGGTAGAATGACACTCAAAGTGAGTGTGTGTTGGACCTATCTTTTATACTCATGGGGTCACGTATTTCTCTTTCTAGTCTGTCATGCCAAATGGGGCTGGTCTGTCTTTTGTGAGACCAGTTCTTACAAGGGAGTTGTGAACTTAATTTACACTTGTAAGAGAGATAACTAAATTGGAATTACTGGGGATTCTTTTCTCAGTGGGAAATTCCTCTTCCAGGGACTGTGTGTGTGTTCGAATCAACATGGGTGCCAGCCGGGGCCGTTCTCGCAGCCTCGAGGCCAGCTTATTGATTTAATCGCTCTCTCTCCACATATCTGTTTTTTTTCAGCTTCTCAGGATCAGATGAGCCAGCATAGACTATGCTGATTTTATTGCTCCTTCTCTGTCCTGTATGCTTCAGGAACCTCAGAGAGGCAAATAAGATGGATGTGATGGGGGTGGGCTGTCTGGCTACAATTTGTAAGCACCTAAAATAGGCACAGAACAGGTGGAATGAAAACAAGATAGCACGGGGTGGGGTTCTTGTGTTGCATGCCAGTTTTTCCCAACCCTGTTTATCTTTGTTGTCTATTGAAAGGTCTTTGGAGCATGGATCTCTCTTGGTGTATATCTTTAAGATGCCTAGCATGCCTCTGAATACTAAAATTTATAATTTGTTAATAGCTAGATTGGAAGATTAGAAAGTGGATGTAATTAGTTGGAAGCATGACCTATTATTAAGGTTGCCTGATACTTTCTCTTATAAGTCCTGTTTTCATTTGTGTTAGAATTTTGCCAGACTGTAACTCAGGGCTACTCAACACACGGCCCATTAGCCGCATGCGGCTCATTTGTTTGCGACCTGTGGTGCAGTTTGGGTTTACGTGTGGCTCAACGCACTGCCCGCGGGTGGGATCCTTTGAACATGGCCTCCACTCGGAACACGCTCCACAATGGTGAGGCGTCTCCCAGGCGAGGTGAGCATTGAAAGATACAAGTGGACAGGCTGGCTGGAACAGACGGGTACGGGGTTGTCAGCATTTCTACCCCCAAGGGAAGAAATGCAGGGAGCACTAGGGCATTGTGTGAAATTAGCTATTTGCATATATATTTGCATGTATATGCAACCACACTGAAGTTGCTGCCCTTGGCATGTGCTGTGGCCCCGGGAGCTTCCAGAGTTGAGTAGCCCTGCAGTAACTGTTTGGTCTGAAAGTTTCCATGTTGGAGGTTCGTCTAAAATGGAATTTTTTTGAACATTTTTAGCCAAAATAATTGTGGTATTTCTGAGAACAAAGCCAAGGAAAATGCCTTGTTTTGCCCATTTTAAAAAAAATGCTGGTGTCCTTTGCTTTGAAAAGCTCTAGCTGCACCCACGCTTTGGAGCAAGGTTTTGAAATTTGAAGGAGGATCTTTTTTGTTGTTCTCTTATAAAACTGTCCAAATCTGTCCAAGTTATAAGCTTTTGAAAAACTGCATATCACACATGCTCAGTCGAGACTTTCTAGAGCATTACATCTAAAATCTTGGAAGATTGAGTATGCTTGAGCCTCTGCCAGCTACTAGTGTTGACCGAAATCTGTATGTACCATCCCCCCCCAGAGAGATGGAGCATGGCCTAGCCCAAAACTGGACTTCCCCTGTAATGGCTGCTCCAGACCAGGTTGGAGCTGGACACAAGGTGGAGACTGTCTCTCCTGTTCTTTCAATATCCTCTCACCCAGACAGCATGGAGGAGGAAGCTTTCTGAGTCAAATGACAGAACAGTGAGGCTGAGGGGAGGGAGAAGAGATTGTCAGAACAGGGAACTGGAGGGATGCGGGGAGTTAGGACTAGGAGGCTGGGGAGGAAAATTAAATCTGATATTACCTAACGTCTGAGTTCTTGACTTTGCAACCTTCATAATTTTCTTTTAATGTCATTTTTTGGGTGTAATTTGAAATTATTGGCTAGTAGGCAAAGATGTCTGTCTCATCCGCTTAAGTATGCCACTGTATGCACTAAAAATAAATCTTTTTTGTGATGCTCAGTAGTCAATTCCCAAATAAGGACTGCAGTATGTGACACAGTGACTTCCCTATCGCTGTGCATTTTAATCAGCAATAGACTTAGAAGCTAGTTACACCAGCTGAGAATCTGCTTAACTTGTCATAGCTCTGCTGAAGTCGATAACAATTGACCCATCAGCAGAGGATCTGCCCTTATATTTGCAAGATCAGGTTTTGTTTTCAAATCACATAAGAGTCTTCAATTTGTATGAAGTTATTTGGTTTTTATTTAAACAAAAATAACTAAATGATTTCCTCAATCAACATTTTTTTTGTTGCAATTGATGAACCAAGAATTCACTAAATATTGTGAGATGTAAATTGTTTTATACAGATAATTATAGTCTTGCTGCTACCAGATAACAAAAGAGAACATAATAATTTGAGGAGAATACTCATATTGAAACCATTTGTATTTTATAATAAACGCTTCTTACAAAGATTACTGGGCATACAATTGAGTATTGTTTTCTCAGCTGCAGTGTTTATACTGTTAATTCTCTCTCTCTCTTTAATTTCAGAACAATAAATCTAAACAGTAATTTACTGCAACAGATTCTAGAAAGAAAACATGAGGTACTATGTATCTTGACAGAAAAGATAGTAACAACGCAAAAGTGTTTGGTGTCTGAACATATTCAGACAGAAGAAAAATGTGGTAGCGTGGTGGGATTCAGTACAAAAATTATAAAGGTAAAAATAACCCACCCCCTGTGCAGCACCTACAGCCATTTCTGCAGCATTATTAAATTCCCTCAAAACCTTAGTTTCAATATTAAAAACCAGTAATTGAAAAAAATGCACTTTTTTTCTTCTGATTTTTGGACAATGTTATAACTGACCAATATCCTGCCCTTGACTTAATAATTGGTCTAATAGATTTGTTCCTTCCTTAACTGTTAGAGCTAAGCATATAACTGACAGTGAGCATATTATCTAATTAATTTGGCCTGTTCTTCTCCATAAGAATTTTCTAAGAACAGATCAGTCTCCTCGTGGATTCTTCATTTGTAAATATGTGGCAATTGTTGTCAATATTTTAAACTGTATCAGTAGCAAATACTTCTCCACGGGTACTCAATATATTGCTTTAATTCTCATTGAGCAGTAGAGATCCCTAGCTGGATGAGAGTCCAAGCTCTTCTGGTGTGAATCTAGAACCTCGTTGCCATGAATGATCTTGACATGTGATTCAAGTTTTTGTGACCCTATTCATGCCCATAACATAAGATGACACAAATGTTAAAAGAAACTGCACATTAAAGGGGTAAAAGCACAGCTGAAGCCAGTTCACTTAAAAATTCGAGTGACTATTTAGAAAACACACTCGTCCTGTGACCCAGCTCCATGGAGTACTAAGTTCCTAATTGATAGTTTGCTTCAGGTTTGTTACAAGGGCTTCTGAAATAACTGTCAGGACAGACAGGCAAAGCCATCAGAACAGCTGACAAATCCCCACTGTACAGGCACCCTCCACTGCCATAAAGCTATCAGAGGTTGCTCTGTTAACCTGTTCTACCTGCTCTTGTGTTGCCTGGTTGTAAAGAGGATGTGAGGAGGGGGAGCAGAGGGGACAGGGCAGAGCAGCAGTCTGGCAAAGCGAGGACCAGTTTTCCACTAGAGTCAAGGGATTTTACACCAGAAAGCATAAATGAAGGCTGCTTCCTGTACACCCTAGGGCTGGTTCGCTGAGGGTGGAGGAGCTGTTCTTGTCTCCCACCACAGGGCAGAGCTCAGACACAGAATGCTTTGCTGGCTAAATGTTCACAGACATCTAAACTCACGTGTGATCTTGACTCAGGTACAGTGGAGAATTGAGTGACAACTTTTCCTAGAACATAAAAATGACCATTCTGGGTCAGACCAAAGGTCCATCTGGTACAGGACCCTGTCTTCTGACAGTGGCTAGTGCCAGGTGCTCTAGAGGGAATGGATAGAACAGGTAATCATCACATGATCCATTCCCACCCTCAACACACAGTGTAGAAACACCATCCCTGCCCATCTGAAACTTATTTGTGGTGTTAGCCTGAGGTTTATTTTGTGTGCAAGCTGGTCTGTAGTTGAATCAAATTAACAGTGGATGAATGTGTCCCTCAGGTTTCCGTGAGCGAAAATGGGAACGTGAGAAAAGATTCCAATGTGGTCTTAGAGATTCCTGCTCCCACCACTATTGCCTATGGGGTAATTGAACTGCATATAAGGCGAGATGGTCAGTTCGGTAAGTAGAATGCCCATTTTCTTTTGCATGTAGCTCTGACAGGGCAAAGAGCTGCCTTCTGAAGTAAAGCCTTTCTTTCACATGCAGGCTTGTGTAACCCACACACCTAACATGGATCATTGTCCCATGGAGTGGCACTTAGACCACTTACAGCCAGAGATAAGAACAATGGGAGCTCTACAGCCTAAGCTTTATAGCTCAGGCTGAAGAGGCTCCTACACTAAGCTCCAGAGGTCTCAGGTTCAAAGCTGCTGTGTGGCGGTTACACTTGCAGCACCTGGATCTTCATTGCCCTGCATTTTCTAGTCGTTTTCATTGGTGCAAAGTGAATTAAAACACTGCTGCCATTCTGAGTTAGTAGCATTTTATACATTCTTCACACCTCACTTTTCACTAGTATAAATAACTACATGAGATGCAAAGCAACTGTCAATCATACCCAGAATGTGTTAGTCTTTCAAAGTATAACATTTGTTGGTATAACATTTGATTAGAAAACATGACAAAGAAATACAATGGGGCTGGTAGTTCATGAACTTTCCCAACTTAAATTCATCTGAAGATAGATCGACTTGGAAAAATTAGTGTAAAAATGTCCTTGCCATGGTCAATATTTGTCTCTTGGTTATTCCAGATCAAACTGGCTCAGATTACAAGCAAAAATATGCTGCGACTGGGGATTTTGCTTTGGCTTGCTGTTTGTTTGTTTTTTAGTAACTCCCTGCTTTGGACATTCCATCTGGGCTCTTCCTCCATGGGTGTATCATTGCTAGAAATCCCAGGCTCACAGGAGATGACTGAGGGTAATGTGCAAGATGGAAAGAATTCAGGTTGAATGTGAAGGGCAGGCAGTTAGAACTAAGAAAGTGCAACTGAGCTGAACTATAGATGTCATTAAGGTGCAATTGAGTTGTAAACCTAAAATGCTTTTCATTTGGGTTGGTTACAAGTGATAGCTAGCTGGAATCTAAATTGACTTTTGAATCACCTGATTTTGTAGGGCCGGCAGTAATTTATAATATGTATGTATGTAAACAAAGGGTATTTGACCTAAAATCTTTGAGACTGGATGAATAGGGAAATTCCCTGAGGATGTGCATTTTACAATCACTTTTCAGAATGGAACTGTATTTCCAAGTTAACTACACTGCCTGCTGAGTCAGTGTTAATAAGACATCAGGCTAGAGAGTTGTATTAAAATATTACTTAGTAAAAGTTTGTAGCTGAGAATCTTTCTCGGGGAATATCTTGTGTTCTATGTCAGCTGGTTAGTGTGTACATGCATTTATTGATCCACATTCTCATGTTGACTCTTTCCTCACTGCGGCCTGACCCTATTTTCATTTTAATTATCTAGTCTTTCAGTCTTCACAAACACCATATGTTTCATGTTGCCTTTATTTGTTGCCTCATAAACAACATATGTCTAGTGCCTTTTTTTAATCTGTTCCATCATCCATCCCTTCCCTTTCTTTTTGTGGTCAAGGAAACTAATGGGATTAATTGCAGAATAAGATACTTGTCAGTAACAGTGGCCCTTAGGTTGTAAGGTCTTTGGGCAAGAATTAACATCTGGTTAGGAATATGAGAATTGCCATCCTGGGTAAGATCAGGGGTCCCTCTAGCCCCGTGTCCTGTCTTTGACAATGGCCAGTACCAGCTGATTCTGCAGAAGATGGAAGGATCTGTCAATCAGTGGCTGGCTTATGCCCTAAGGCAGGGGTTCCCAACCTGGGGTACGCGTACCCCCAGGGGGGTACAAGAAGCTTGTCAAAGAGGTACGGGGAATATTTGGTAAATAACTAGATTATCAAAAGTAGTAGTGTTAGCGAAAAAAGTTGTGCATTCTGGAGACTAGAATTTATTTTCTTTCATATGGAATAGGGGTTACGGGAAGGTTTACTAAAAGCCAAGGATGTACGGGGCCTGAAAAAGGTTGGGAACCCCTGCCCTAAGGCATGAGAATTTAAAATCCTTGATAGATAGATAGATATAATATCTACATGACTGCAGAGGGTCTTAGCCCTAAAAATGTCTAATCCTTTTCTGAATCCTTCTGAACCCTTCATGGCAGTAATTTTTTTTTTTTTTTTGAGTTTGTGTGTTCCACAGGTTAATTATGCACTGGATATAATAACACTCCCTTTTAAAAGGCTTAATTTTTTTTATTTGCCTTTTAATTTCATTATGTCTCCTTGTTCTTGTGTTATGAGAGAGAATAAATAGAAGCATGTGGCTGATATGCTTTGTACCATTTGTTCTGTATCTCTTTGACATGTCTCCCCTTCATCTTAGTCTCTCTCTGCATCTCCTAATTTTGAGTGCCCATCTCTGGATCTCTTCTATTTCTACCAGTGTTTGAGATAAAGTGACAAGAACTGAGCACTATGTACATAATGGCATGATGATACTTTGACTTTCCAATCCTCCCTATCTCCATTCCACCTCTATAAAGGGTCATGCAAACTTAATGTTCTATAAAAATAATGAACAATTGTAACAATACACACTTTCCTACACACTTGTGTTTGCTTTTGAGACAAAATCAGTGATAAGATTCAACAGTTGTGACTGCTTCACTTACTTTCACATGCTGCTGTGTTTATTTCAGTCACTGGTCTTATTCTCCTGGAAAGGGTAGTTAATTTTTCAGTGATAACATCTCACGTGTGTGTGTGTGTGTGTGTGTGTGTGTGTGTGTGTGTGAATCTCATTAACAGTAATGGCAGTAACACAAGCACACTGAGGGCACATCCAGATTTGCTTTCACTTTTGGAAGAAGATATGCAAATTCGGTGCGAATTTGCGTAACTTTTTCCAATCGCTTTTTCAAAAGAGGTTCTTTTGAAAAAGAAAGTAGTCTAGACGTGCTTTTTTCTCAAAAGAACTGCATCTAGACTACTTTCTTTTTCAAAAGAACCTCTTTTGAAAAAGCGATTGGAAAAAGTTACGCAAATTCGCACCGAATTTGCATATCTTCTTTTGAAAGTGAAAGCAAATCTAGACGTGGCCTGAGACAGGTTTGTACTCCTTCGATGGTAATCCATTGACTGTTGCCCTTGCAGGGAAAAGCTTTTATTTCTATTAATCTCTTTCTGCTCCTCCATAACTTACTTTCCTCTAAGTTGTTTTACTGATTACAGCAGCTTTCTGAAAGTTTGCTTTTTTCCTCCTTGCCCTTTGAAATGCCTCTTGACTTTTGGGCATTCTACTCCTTCTTTGTCACATGCTACTTTGAAACTGCCATGGATAGTGTATGGGGACTACACTGCCTTGGTTTCTCCATCTGTAAAATGAAACTAGTCTCATTCACAGGGTAGTCACTGTTTACCTGAAGATGGGTAAACCTGGGCATTGTTGTTTAGTTAGTATTCTGTTACTAGCAATAGTCTTATATATGATGAAGCAGATTATTCCCTATGAATTGAGTAGAGAAGAGATCTTTGGCATACAAATGTACCTTCTCCTTCACAACAGGGTGGATCAGTGCCTTCTATGGCACTGTTCCCTCCTTTCCAGTACCCCACATAGAAATCTGCAGCAGCAGAGAATCACAGTCCCACATTGAGTAGGATAGAGGAATGCACATTATCCCATCGCGAGATCAGAGAGACTAAAGAGAAAACATAATGCAGCTGTGTATCCTTTCCCAGGGAGTCTCCTCCACAGGGATGTCTCCCTTGAAGAAGGGTCTATGGCCAGAGGAAGACCCTAGTGTTGTGAGACACTGGGAAGCATGCCTCTACCGAATTGGCATGGACTTGACCTCCCACTGATCAATGGAGCTTAGGGATGGGCCTGCAGGGCAGCCCACTGGTACAGGACCAGGATAAAGCTCCAAGGTTCTAATTTAGCGGATTGCTAAACAGATTACTAAATGAATCCACAAAATCTTGTCTCAGGTGCTGTAGCTAGTGCCTGGTTCCAATCACATGGCAGATTTGTGCACCGCACTGTTCAGAACAAGCAACAACATAGAATGTCCAGTAATTCATATAGACAATAACTGGGTTTTTTTCCATCAACAAGAAATCAGATACATAGAAACACGTGCACTCAAGAAGGCTAATGTCCACATTGACCGTAGTATCATTATTTGCTTCTGTACACTCTTGTGGTTTTATTTATTTGTTCACTTGTGTTTCTAATTACAGAATTTTGTCTGCTACATGAGCAAGAAGGAGGTTTTGAAAGAGAAAATACAGAAGGCTCATCTTACCCATATTCTTTACCGTTTAGAGACTCTTCCTTTCTCTATCAGCCAGATGCTGTCGATAATGAGAGGCGCTCTGGAGACAGAAGTATCATTCCCAGCAATGCTTCCCTAAGTGTATTGAAACAAGGTATTACTAGAAACGTTTTATTTGGTTACACTACAGATACTTGAGCAAGAGAGCAAATAGAAGTGTTCTTGAAAAAGAGTACATAGAAATTATGCTGTCCTGTTTTTAATAGCCTCTAGAAATAATACCGTGGTGAAAAGTTAGGAAAAAATAGGATGATATAGTACTCCTGGAATGAATGTATGAGGGGAGTAGGAGTAAATTGTATATCTCCTAGGAACATATTATTGTCATTTGTCATAAATATAAACGTATGCAATTTTGGTTTTGCATCGGTTTTGTTATATCCCTGCTAAACTTCATAAGAGTAGTAATGATTTACATTGGCATTGAAAAATGTCCATTGAGAATATTTGACACATGATATGAAAACATTTTCTTAGTAAAGCTTCTCAGGGAAAGTTGCTTGACATCTCCAGGAATACAATGCTGTTTTTCTTCCTGAAACTCTTTGAGTTCTGAGAAACCTGGAAGAAATCAGAGTTGAACACTAGAACTAATCACAGATGTGAGTGAAATGACAGTGTGAATTACACATTGGTAAGGTGATGTAATGGCTAGGGGACTGGAAAGGTAGGGCGGTACCAAGAAAAACAGCAAATAGGAAGGAGTAAGAAGGTATAAAATAAAGGTGTCTCATCCTTTTTATATTACCTTCTATCAGCTCCTCCTGGAGACCGGCCTTAACACCCACTTCCACATGTCACCTCTGAATTTCCCAGTTATGTCACCTCTGAATCTGGCCCTGAGTTCACAGATTAGTTAATAAATTAATTATGACAAAATAGCCATATTGTTGTCCTGGAATAAATCCTATACTTCTCTATTGTAGACTTCCTTAAGATTACATTTGTTTCTCTTTCTCTAGGAAAAAAATGTTTTGTGAAGGACTCTGTATTGTACTGTTGTTAATATCCTATGTGTTTATCTCAATTCAAGAATTATCATTCTGTTTCTTTATTTGATTAGCCTACCCCAATATATTGAAATGGTTTTAAAAACTTATAGGGCTCGTCTACACTGGCCCCTTTTCCGGAAGGGGCATGTAAATTTCACCAGTCGTCGTAGGGAAATCCGCGGGGGATTTAAATATCCCCCGCGGCATTTAAATAAAAATGTCCGCCGCTTTTTTCCGGCTTTTAAAAAAGCCGGAAAAGAGTGTCTACACTGGCCCCGATCCTCCGGAAAAAGTGCCCTTTTCCGGAGGGTCTTATTCCTACTTTGAATAAGGAAAAAGCATCTAATGAACTCTAGTGGAGTTTCTAAACTCTAGTACTGTTTAAATATTTAAAACTCCTCTTGTAGCTAATTAAAACAATTTTTAGGTCAAAGGAGAAGGTATAAATCTTGTAAAGTCTGTAATGAAATATTTGAGGACAATAAGAAATAGTGTTAGTGAGTTTTAATTGCAAGTATGAATAATACAATCAACCTTAGTTATTAAAGTCATTTTTCCATAATGCAGTTCAGGAGTAAAATATTCTGTTGAGAAGATTACCTGGTAGAGTGTTATACTCTTAAAAATAAACATTCTTTTGGAAATCATGAACAGCTTTCATGTGAAGTATAGTATAAAATATTGAAATCTTAACTGAATGTTGCTTCCTATTAACCCTATTTATTTGCACTGACTCTTCGTTAATTTGCAAAAGCCATTAGTAAAACGCGCCTTTAACCAAATGGGTCTTAACATTTCATTACAAATTCTAGAGATTAATAATTTAGTTGCATTTACAGGCGTTTGTAAGAAACATGAGTTTGACACTGAGTTTCTTTCTTGGAAAGATCTGTTGCTGTTAAAGGTACAATTCCAACCCTTTGTGATGCTTCCAGAAGACAAGCAAGGAACTTTATACAAAATATTCTGTGAACTCTTGCATCGTGAAGAAATGGTGACAGCACTGAAGGAGGTGGTAAGATGACAGAAAATTATTTTTGGAAAGAACAAAAAATAAAGAGAGCTAACACATCCTTCTATTCAAACTCTTCGTTTTATACACATTTTTAACAAGTTTTGTTGACTTCCGTGGGAGAAAGATCAGGGCTTGTTTCTATATGTCTAATTTAAAATGTGAGAACCTAGTAATGTATCTTTTCCTTCTTTCCAGTTAGATAGTATTTGCACAGGAGATAAGCCAGATTTTACAGAACTGAAGGAGCTGAAACCTGCAGAGCAGCAACATGTAACTGACTTCTTGCAGCTGGTTGGGTACAGCTTGCAGAATGAGCTGTTGTCTCAAAAAGACCAACTTCTTTCTAAGGAACTCATCTCAGCCGCTCACATGCTGATCAGCGCAGTGGCAGGTACAATGGAAACAGACGGAGTTTTTCCACTTACCAATGCCTGTTTGGGGTGCACCATGAATTTTTATTTTGTAGTAAATTGTAACATGTGGGTAGCTTCAGTATATTGGTTGATTTCTGTTTCACTTCTATGGGGCAGGGCTGGATAGAGAAGAAAACATTTTGTGATTTGGTTAAGAATTCGATTCAAAACCCCTTTGCTGCATATTTTATAAGTAAAATTTAACAGTCCCTGGAAATAATTTGACTTGCGTTTCCATTGAAGCCAAACCTTTTCATTCACTTTTGTTAATTAATTATTGTTCTCATTGTTCATCATACTCCTTCATATCTTCTGTCTTAGGGCTGCCTTGAAGGCGCTAAGTGCGTGGCTTATGTTGATGAAGTACAAGCCATATTTAGCAAAAAATACTTTAACATGTAGATCTGTAATTAGAGGGTTATTATGCTGCCACAGAAAAAGGAAATTAAACATAAATTAAACATAACTCTCTCAGTGAAATTGGCACTACAATATTAATTAAAAACCAGCTGCAAATCCAACTTTCTCATAAAAATCTTCATTCTGTTAACATAGGTGATGAGGAAATGAAGTGTGGTATTGGGTAAATAAATAACAATATACAGTGGATGGTCAGTTTATATGTCACTATGCATGAGACCAATATATGAAAAAATAGGAGACATTTTGAAAGCATGACCCAGTTGCAGAGATTCAAAAGAAATTGAACAGAGACCCACTGAAGTACTGATGCTGGTCTAACTATATTGTAACCTAGCTCTGGCCATAATATCGAGATGTGACAATCACATATGCCCAGAGCTGTACCATAAAGCTGCTTTGTTGTTTTTCCTTCGTGAATTATAACGGTATGGATTGTACAGTCTGTGTCTCATGTTAATGTTGGGGCAGGAACCTTGTCTTTCTCTAGACCCAAATCCTCTGTCCAGCACCCAGACCTAATATCACTGGGAGACAAGGGGAGAGAGATTCTCCCACCCAGACTGGAAAGCTACCTGCACCATCCCAAAGGCTTACATGGCCCTCCAGGCTCCATCCACCCCTCTGCCATCCTGCTCGTGCCCTGTGCTGCTCAGAGTTTACACAGAACAGGCCTCTGCAAAACACAGTGCGTGTGCATACTCATCCATTTCTCCCCACGTAGACTTATAGGCCAGAAGTGACCAAAGTAATCATCTTCTAGGCCAACCTCCTGCACTTTGCAAGCCACGGAATCTCACCCTGCCACTCCTGCAATAGACCCCTTTTTCCTGCCCAAGTTACTGACATCCTCATGATTTAAAGACTTCAAGTTACAGAGAAACCACCATTTACACTACTTTAGACCTGCAAGATCCCCAGGCTTCAGAGGAAGACAGAAGACCCTTGCCAATCTAACCTGGGGGAAGATTCCTTCCTGGCCCCAGACCCTGTTCATGTGGACAAGACCCACCAGCCAGACACCTGGGAAAGAATTCTCTGTAGTAATTCAGAGCCCTATGTACCTGGCGTCCCATCTCTGGCTACTGGAGGTATTTGCTGCTAGCATTTGCAGATTGGCCACATGCCATTGTAGGCAGTCACATCGTACCATCCCCTCCATCTCAGTCTTGAAGTCCGTTCCCTTTTTTGCCTCCCCTGCTCCCCCAATGATGGGGCTGTATGTGCGGCACAGAGCATGCTGTCAGATCTCAATAAAGAGCATAATTGCCTGTAGCGGGTGGCTTGTGTTGGTCTACAGAGTATTTTGTACTAATACATTTGGCAGGACCTCACTCAGTGGAAGCAGTGGGTCTGTCACAGCTCAGCAATGGAATTTTGTAACCGTGTGTGCAGGCTTAGCTTGTTCATATACCTTGCTACAGTCTCCTTTTTAGCAACCACCCAGCTTCAGAGATCCTTGGTAAATAACTGCTCCTTTTAACATCTCCTCCTACAGAATTGTCTGACTGCACACTGGCTCTGCTGCATGCGTGCTGCGACACACACATGGTCTCTGCCTTGTGTTGTTTGGTAAGTAATTCAAAAGGGAGTGGGGCTGCCTTTTATGGGTCTTAGTGACTGAGGAGTCTGTATGATCTGGCTGATTGTATGTGTCATTTAAATAAGGGAGGGGATAGAATATGCTACAGATATCAGGAGGCATTGATTAAACCTAGTCACCATCTGGTCTAGTGTGTTAAAATGACAAACAGTGCAGCTACTTTAAACCAAAACTGGATTTCTTCCTTGCAACACCTTGTGACGTGTAGAAAACACTACAGAAAATGTGATGCAAGAGAAGACAGCGACTTTGGATCGAGTGTCAAAGGTTATGATTTTATTTTACTAAGCCTCTAATTAGGCCACTTCAAAAACCAAAAGCCTGCAGTGGGCATCAGAGGCAGGTGTGGTAGGAATTGATTGTGCAGACAGTAATACGTCAGTGATGGTAAGTTTGGAGTGCAGAAGCTCTGAGCCTTCCTAGAACTTTAAATGAGGGGGAGGGGGGAATCTCAATTGCTCCTGGTTCAGTTGGGTTCAGAGTAGGGATGTAAGTGAGTGGCAGCAAGGTGGGGGGAAAGCAGGAGCTGGTGTTGGGTGGAACCAATTTAAAAGTCAGTTTCCTCCAGCACCATCTCTAGGGTGCCTCCTGCCCCTCCCCCCATCAGAGGCAGCGGGGGGGGGGGGAGCTGTTGAGGGCACAAGGGAGGCTGTCATGAAGCAGTTCCTGTCTGCAGGGGGGTCCCAGACAGGGGCTGCTGGACCCGGCATAAGCCAGGACTGAGCAAGCCTAGCTCAGTTCTGGCTTTCACTGGGTCCAGGACCTCTGCGTCGCTGCATTTTAAATGTAGTAATAGCCTGTCTGCTTCTTACTACATTTAAAATGCGGAGCCGCAGCAGGGGTAGCTCCTGGACCCGGCGGGAGCCAGGACTGAGCATTCCCGTTTCGTGCCAGGGCTGAGACCACTGTGGCCCTTCATTTTAAATGCAGTAATAGCCGGCCCACCTCTTATTACTACTAAAATGTAGAGCTGTAGCGGGGGTAGCTCCTGAACCCAGGGAGTTGAGACAGAGTGCCTTCCCAAATTGTATTGATGACATGATTAGCCAATTACTCACCTATGTGATCTTTAGTATCACACTTGTTAATCTTTATTTACTCTACATAAAGGTACCTTTGGCAGTGAGACAGCTTATATTCTTGTGTTTCCACAATCTAAGTCCCTACCCAAGTTTTATTGCAGAAAGCAAATTCATATGATGTCAGAAACTGCGCTCTGTGAAAATAGCTTTAACATCTCTTTCTGTCCATATCAATACAGCCTAATGTCGCTTCAGCTGATGGCACTTTGACCTTGAGAGAACCTGCCCTGACCCCTCTCACTGACACAGGAAGATTTCACATAGTGCAAAGGCTGTTTGCCTTAGCAAACATTAACCTCGAAATGACGGAGTCTTCTGTGAAAGCTGTAACCATGAAAGCACCTAGCTTCTCCCCATTCATTCTTTATATTGCATTGTATGGCTTTTATGCCTTAGGTGGGGCTGTCTGAGGAGAACAGGGAAGCCTAGACTAATAGCCGAACTAATAGCACTAATGATGCAGATTTGCAGTGCTATAGGATCCTGTTAATTTGAACTCATTCACCTACTTGCTTATCGATGTCATTGAACTGGCATAAGTGAACATAAAAAATACAAGGGGACTGCATCCCAGTATGTTCTTTATTCATGTAGAGCCTGGGCTCAGGCTTTTATTTTGTCACTAATACTTTACATTGATTTATGGCATGACTAGCAACTACTCCACCTCCTCTCATTTACAGTGCTAAGTCTAGTGATTAGACCTCCCTACAACAACTTAGCAGCATGCCATGTTTAAATTGCACCCTAGGCTGGCTCTTAAAGCAATGCTTTCATTTGATATGTATGTATGTGCTTCACCCTGGCTCAGGCCAGACAGACATTTGTTATTACTCGTCTGACCTTCCCCATGTGGTGGTTTTCAAATAAAAGTAAACTGTTTATTCTCTGTGTGTTACTTTGTGTCATCCTTGATTCTAATGGGGAGAGGTTTCCTCCTCATGTGAAGGGAGCAAATGTCACTGCACCCTAACAATACAAGGCAAGTAATTGTAAATGTTGGTTTAGGAAGACTTTAGTGAAAAGACTGAGGATAATGTTCATTGTAATGTGTAGTAGCTTGTAATGTGAACAAGTATGACTAGACAGGAAGAGTTGGTTAGTGGTTAAGTGCTAGCCTGGGATTAAAGAAATGGGGTTTAGTTCTCTGCTCCCATACTATGTCATTTAAGCACATCATTTAGGGCCAAATTGTCAAGGCTATGTAGTCTGTATCTGCAAAAACAAGGAGTCCTGTGGCACCTTAAAGACTAACAGAATTGGCATTAACTTTTGTGGGTAAAAAAAAAACTTAGTCAAATGTGTGCAGATGTAGTGCTTTTTACCCATGAAACTTCTGCCCAAATAAATCTGTTGGTCTGTAAGGGCACATCTACACAGCCAGGGCTAAAGTTAAATTAAGCTATGCAACCTACACTATGTGAATTGTGTAGCTGAAATCAAAATAGTGTAATTCAGCTTTTAGCGCTGTCTACACAGCAGGAAGTTGAAAGAACACTCTTCCTTTGACTTCCCTTACTCCTTGTGAAATGAGAGTTACAGGGGTCAGAGTAAGAAGTCTTCTAGCTCACCATTATTTCAAAATAAGGGCTTGTTGTGTAGCACAGGACTCCTTGTTTTTTGGAGGATAGTTGGGTGACTAAAATTGCAGATTGATGCCAGGGCAGGGGTTTACAGGATAAGAGTTCAGTAGCCATTAGGTGCCTAAGTTACTTAGGGGCTTTTGTACATCCCATTAGGTACAGATAGGCACTTAAACACATTTAAAAATCTGGTCCCCTCTGTCTCAGTACCTCCATTTGCCCCCTCGAAACCAGAGAGAATAGTACAGCCCAACCTCACAGGATGCTCTGAGCCTCTATGTATTACAGATTACAAGATGCTCAGCCACTCTGGTGGCAAAGGTCACAATTACCTTATGGCAGACACACTAGCTTTCACTTCAAATAAACACAATGCTACAGTAAAAGTGGAGCAGTCAAAGTCCCTTTGTCTAATAATATTTAACCTACTTTGCTGCTACTGCTAGCCACTATCCCTTTGAATGTGTTTTCATTGTAACAGTGTACGTTTGAATTAAACAGTTGATGTGAAAACTAAAGTGTAAATTATAATCTCTCATTGTTGACACTGTGCTTATACGTTATAGATTTAGAAAGTCCTTTAGGCATATCGCTCCTCCCTCTTCCTCCTCCCACCCCCCAACACACACACACACACAAGCAGCTACAGTGCCATTTCAGAGTTTGGTACTAGTTCCCATTTAATTGCAAACCTAGCTTTTGAAATAAGCCTGCCTATACTACTTTGCTCAGGTACTTCAGTGACAGCATTAGACTGATGTATTTTGCACCAAAACAGGATATAGAGATGGAGAAAATGCTAAATAAAATTGATAGGTTATATGAGGTATTTTGTCTAAAGTAGGACTGTGCTAAATTGTTCCAAAAGAAAGAGCTCACAGTGCAAAGTTACAAACCTTGGAAACCATATGTTAGCTGGCCTGGCATTTAAGTTGTGTAAATACAGTTTGCTCCGGCATTGCTTAAAGGTACTTTACTCCTTGTAATCATCAGACACATCCAGGCATTCTTCCCTCCTTCAAGCTGGCTGCAATTAAAGCATTCATTCAGATCTTGCTTCCACCCCTATTCTTAAGGCTTGTTAGAAAGTGGTCAGGTTGGATATAGCCAAGCTGTTATCTTCTAGATATTTGCAAATTGATTGCTTAATTATTTCCTCTATTTTTTCTGGTACAGAAGTTAAGTTTCTTTATTTCCAGACTGGCACAAAATTTGTCTTTTCCAGTCTTCTGGAATCTCTCCAATAGTCCATAATGTTTTAAAGATGGTTCATAGCTCCTCAGACAGTTCTGTGTATGCAAAGATGCATTTCATCAGGCCCTGGTAACAATTTTTATGTTTTTGCAATTTTAGCCTCTTATCCTACCTCATTTTCACTGGCATTCCATTAGATATCCAATCCCTACCAACTTTGTTGGTAAAAACCAAAACAGCACTCAAAGTGGCTTAGAATTGAAGTATCATTTTATGATCACTTTCACCCAAGCCTGCCTTCCACTTTCAAATTTGCAATCAGTTTTCCCCATTGGTTATAATCAAAGCTTGAACTGTCTTCCCTCCAGTAGCTTTGCCCACCTTAAAATGAAAAGTAATCTTCAATACAGTCCAAGGACTTGTTTGATAATCTGTTCTCTGCTGTGTTTATTTTCCCAACAGACATCTGGGTAGTTGAAATCCCCCCTTGCCACCAAGTCCTGAGCTTTGAATGAGTGTTAGTTTTAAGAAAGCCTCATTCACCTCTTCTTCCTGATTAAGTGGGTTTTTTTCCCTTTTATCCTTACCCAGAGACACAAGTCTCTCTCCTATTGCCATCTCAACCTCAGTTCAAGTGTATACATTTTTAATATATAGACAAAACCTCCTCCCTTTTTCTCTGCATGTCCTTCCTTAGCAAGCTGTAGCCCTTCAATCCTGCTCCCTTTTTGATTTACCTGTGGACTTTGGTCACCTGCTCCCTTGTTCATTCACCTTTTATCCTTACCCAGAGACACAAGTCTCTCTCCTATTGCCATCTCAACCTCAGTTCAAGTGTATACATTTTTAATATATAGACAAAACCTCCTCCCTTTTTCTCTGCATGTCCTTCCTTAGCAAGCTGTAGCCCTTCAATCCTGCTCCCTTTTTGATTTACCTGTGGACTTTGGTCACCTGCTCCCTTGTTCATTCA